CATGATTCAGAAAGGCATAAGAAGGAATTGTCCCCCACCTTGGATGATGGCAGCCCTGTCCCCCTAATTGCTCAGGCAGTTGCCTCGGACTTGGTCTTGGCTTCTGTCTTTCTCACACCCCACATCCAGAATTTCAGGAAATCTTGGCTCCACTTTCAAAAAATACCCCTTTTCCTACCTACACTGCTGTCACTGCTCTGTGCTTCTATAATTGTGGCCACCCCCACCCCTCCAGTAATCTTTTTAAAACCCTAAGTTAAGTGATGTCATCACTCCACTACCCAGAACCTTGCAACAGCTCCCATATCATTTGGAATAAAAGCCAGTCTTTCCAGTGATTTCAACTCTGTTACTCTTTCTCTCTCAGGTAATCTGCTCCGGCCACAGGGGTCTCCATGTCCCAAGTGTACCAGGCACACCCTGCCCCAGGGCCTTTGCACTGGGGTTTAAACCTCTCTTCTCTTCCAAACCTTGGCTTACTCCAGCCCTCCCAATTTAAAATACTTCAGTGACCCTCACCCATGCAGTGATGGGCATTTTCTACCCATTTATCCTGCTCTTTTTTTTTTTCATAGTCTTCTAACATAGTAGGTAATTTATGTCTAACAAAGTAATTTATTAAGTGTATCTTTTATTTGTTGACTCTTCCCACTCACATGTAAGCTTCAGGAGGGCAGGCATCTTAATCTGTTTTCAGTCACATATCCCAAGCATCTGGAAGACTACTTGTCAGTCATAGGTGTACAGCATATATTGATTGAACGATGTTCAATATATTGTTTAAAAATCTTTACCTTTCTTAATTTTTTGGCTGTTTGAACTATCCAGAAGGCATATTCAAATCTTCCTCTATAGTAATGGGTTGCCTCTTTTCCCTGAGGTCCTAACGGTTTTTGCTGTGTACTTCCAGGCTAATTTGGTACTTAAAATATGAATCCTATCTTCCTGGCTAACTGAACCTTTTATCATTATGTACAGGCCTTCTTTATCCTTAATAATACTTTTGTCTTAAAGTTATTAGTTTATCTGATGCTAGTAAAGGTCAACTAGCTTCCCAATAATTTTTGGTACTATTTAATATGTTTTTTCTGCTCCTTTCCACCTTTTTGAGTTATGTTTTAGGTGTTTCTCTTGCATATAGCTTATAGTTTTTCACTCATTTTGACAGTCTGTTTTTAACTGCTAGTGTATGTATGCTTATTGGGATTATGTATATATCCAGATGAATTTCTACCTTTTACTTTCCATTTGTCCCATTTTTGCAGTGTTTATGTTTTCTTCTTTGCTCTCTTTTTTAAAATAATGAGTTTTATTTGTTTTCTTATTCTGTTTTTCCCCTTCTACTAGTTTGGAAGTTAGATACTCTGTTTCTGTTCTTTTAATGTTTGCCTTTTAAATGTTATCATGATACTTAAAGTTATATCTTACTCTCCTCCTGAATAATACAAGGGCATGTAACTTCGTCTGCTTCCCAACTTAAACTCTGTTGTTATTCAGTGTTTATTTCTGTACATTTTCATCCCATGAATTAAGCATTATTACTTTATATAGGTGATGTTTACTTTATTTATCCTCATATTTACCAATTTATTTGCTTACCAATTCTTTTTGTATCTCAGACCTTCCATGCGTAACATTTACTTTCTGAATTATAGCCTTGCAGTCTAAATAATATGCTACTAAAGCTTATCCATTTCCTTAGTGAGGTCCTTTGTCGGTAAGGTCTCGGTTTTTGTTTCTATGAAAAAGCCTTATTTTGCTCTCATTTTTTGGAAGACAGTTTCAGTGGCTCTACCCCACGTGTGTTTTTTCCAGTACCACAAAGCCGTGCATTTTGACACTGCCTTCCTGGAGACAGCACCAGCCCCCATGGGTTAGTAAGGGCTCTGTCCCACAGACTGCCCTCCCTTCAGGCACCAACTACAAGCCCAGGCTGTCACCTGCGCTGCTCACCTACTGGCTCTAAATCGGAGGTTCCATGACCTCCTCCTCAGGTTTGATTAATTTGCTAGAGTGGCTCACAGAACTCAGAGAAAACCTTTATGCACATTTACCACTTTACTGTAGAGGATATTATAAGAGATCTGGATGAACAGCCAGGTGAAGAGGTACATAGTCCGAGGCCCAAAAGGGTCCTGAGCACAGGAGCATCTGTCCCCATGGAACTGGGGTGTGCCTCCTCCTTGCGTGTGGATATGTTCACCAACCCAGAAGCTCACCACGTCTTGTTCAGGAGTTTTTATGGAACTTAATCTCTGGCAACCTCCTTCCCCTTCCCTGAGATCAGTGAGCAGGGCTGAACGTGCCAAAGTCGTACTTACTTGGTCATTCTGGTGACCAGCCCCACCCTGAGTCACCTCATTAGCATAAATTCAGGGGTGTTCAGAAAGGGCCTCTTATGAACAGCAGAAGATATTTCCTGTCACTCTGGAAATTCCAAGGGTTTTAGATTTGTGCCAGGAACCCGGATAATGGGCCAAAAATATACCACAGTATACAGTTTTATGTAAACAGTCCTTTTTCACTTTGAAGATCTACCACTGTCTTTGGGCTGCCAGTTTTGCTGTTGAAAAGTTGGCTGTCCATCTGGTTGTCATTCCGTCTTTGTGTTCTGTCTTTTCCCTCTGGCCACTTTTCTCTTTGATTTTGGTATCTTCAGTCTAATTACAGTGTATCTAGGTGTGGATTTCTTCTTAGACTATTTTGTGTACATTGCATATTATGTATCCATAGATTTATAACTTCCATCAGTGGTGGGAAATACTCAGCCATTATATTTCAAATATTGTCTTTTCCCCCTACTCTATCCCCTTCCTCTAAGATTTCATGTAAACTCACTCCAAACCCCCTGTTGTAACCATTCTTCTTTTTTTTTCCCTTCCTTAATCATTCTTTTATATATTACATTTTCATTCTTTGTGGATTCTGGGTAACTTCCTCAGATTTCCCCTCCAATATACCAGTTATCCAGTCTCCTGCCGAAGCCCTAGATGAGGGGCTGTTTTTGTTTTAGTTTCTGTTCACCAATTATAGTTTTCATTTTGTAAAAGCTTTATTGGATTCTCTTTCAACCTGACTGGTCATTTGGAAAGTCTCATAGTTTACTCATTTTTACCAGTCCATTTTTTACTTCTTCATACATTTTACACATGGGTTTTTTTTCTTTTCTGTATCTGATCATTCTTTTTTTTTTTTTAAGATTTTATTTATTTATTTGGCGGCGAGGGGGCGCAAGAAGAGGGAGCGGGAGAGGGAGAAGCAGACTCCCCACGAAGCAGGGAGCCCAACGTGGGGCTCAAATGCAGGACCCCAGAATCATGACCTGAGCCAAAGGCAGATGCTTAACTGACTGAGCCACCTGGGCGCCCTGTATCTGATCATTCTAATAGCTGAAGTCATGAAAATAATTTTTGTTTCTGCTGAATCCCACTCTCATTATCTTTGTGCACTCAACGTTTGGTTAAACTAAATCTGTGGGACTCCTGGAGGCCTGCACTGAAGATGCTTTTCCCCAGACACCATTTGCATTTACTTCCACCACCTGTTGGGACTCCTTTTACTTCCTTCAGGTGTCCTCATTTAAGGTTTGAAGTGTTTGGTTGAGCTCCCCAGCTTTCCTTTGACCCAACTAAATGTCGAAATTGGTATTTATTTTCAGAGAAACTGCTCTGTTCATGCTTGCTTGATAGTCATCGCATTCCCTGTGGATTAAACTCTTTTTAGGAGAAGGAAGGCATCTTGAAGATTTTCTCTACATTCTAGGAACCCAGCAATGTGTTAACCACTCTGCTTTATCAAAGAACCCATTTTTTTCTTTGTTTTTGTAACTGAGAACCCTTCTGAGAATCTTCTGGAATTTACTGGAAGTATAAATCTTTAAAGTGGTTTTTTATTAGTAGCAACGAGGGAGGTATAGCTTGGGAGCCAAGACAGAAAAAATAATTAACCAAGAGAAAGTTCAACCTTTTCAAAGTCGTGTGTCAAAAGCTGTTCCTGCCATTCACTGAAACTCAGACAGAACTTGGTCCAACCTTTTGTTTTCTTTTTTTTTAAGATTTTATTTATTTATTTATTTATTTATTTATTTATTTATTTATTTATTTATTTATTTATTTTAGAAAGAGAGAGAGTGAGAATGGGAAAGGGCAGAGGGAGAGAGAGAATCCTATGCAGGCTCCATGCCCAGCATGGAACCTGACGTGGGGCTCTGTCTCATGACCCTGAAATCATGACTTGAGCCGAAACCAAGAGTCAGATGCTCATCCAACTGAGCCACCCACGCGCCCAGGTCCAACCCTTTGTTTTCTGCAACCACATCTTTACTTCTGGTCTTGACCCCTCTCAAGCCCATCTCCCTCTTACTTAGTCCCAGGGCCGTGTGTCTCTTTCCCTTCCTTCACGAAGACTGCTCTTTTGGTAAATTTATGCCCCGCCCCAAAACTTATTTTTAAATTTAGTTCCTGTAAGAAAGGTAAAGATCACATGAATGACAGTGTTGCTTTTTGAGTACCCGAACATTTAAAGAAATGGTCACATTCATTAATTCAACAAATATTTATGTCAGAAGTTGAAAAGCCCTCTTTCTCAGATGGTATTTTCTTTACAGGGGTAGTTGTCCTGGACATGTGGTCAAAGGAGCTCTGGGCTGAGGCTCTGGAGGGGAAGTGGGAAGTTAAATGGGAGAAGCAGGGATAGCTGGCCATGAGGGTTCACCCTCCAGGATTCCTCCCTTACCACTGTCCCCCAGAGGCCCCCCGCAGGCCCAGCGGTGGACCCAGATGAGCAGTGGGAGTTGGAGCTGGATGTGAGTTGGAGGCAGTGGCAAAGCCTGAAGGGGGAGTGAGGAGGGCAGCAAGAAAGATGGATTGGGATAGGAGCAGAAGGAAGGTGGGCGGGAGGTTCTTGTGTCTACCGGGTTTTCTTCCTGAGCTCCTTGTTCAAGTCAAGCACTTTCCATGTCGATAGTAATAACCCGTGCCATTTATTTTGTATTTTTCTAGATCAATGAACTGAGCCATGTTCAAATCCCTGTTATGTTGATGCCGGATGACTTCAAAGCCTATTCAAAGATAAAGGTGGACAATCACCTTTTTAACAAGTAAGTACAAGTATGGCCTTTTATAGGACTGACATGGCTGCCAGGAGCATGATTTTTGTGAATTTCTACAATCACATTATTTTTCAATGGGTGGGAGTAAAGTTTTGCTGATGAAGTTAATCCTGTGATAAACATAACCATCTGTCATTTTCAGAAAAGCAGCAGCAAGCCCTCTTGGGTAATATCCTTTTGCCATATGGCATATTGTTCTCTATGAATATCTTATATGTTAAAAGTGATATTCTCATTACAATTTAAATGTTTGAAGCTGTAAATTGCTTAGAATTTTTAGCAGCTATGGACCTTAGCTATCTTATACAAAACTCTAATAATGCCTATTTCATGAACAGAAATGACTCCTTCATAGAACAATAAAGAGTTAGGGTACATTTTTATAAAACATAATTGGAGGCCATGTTGGGCATTGAGATTATTTCTCCTTCATTTGAATGTCATTTTAGATATTATGGAGCACCTTATATATTAGCTGTCCCCTGAGAGCAGGAGGGACAAGGAAGTATAAGAAATGGCCCTACCCTCACGGGGCTCACAAGCAGGTGGTTGGAACCTGACACATATACACATTACTATAATCCAGTGTACAAAGTATGACAGTAGAGGGGTGTGTGTGTGTGTTTGTGTACGTGTACATGTACACAAAGGAGGAAGCAATTCCGAATGAGTGGGATGAGCCTCCAAGAAATACCTCCCACATGAGGATCAATTATGAAATTTCTTAGTGTGACCATTGTTCTGATGTGAAGTGGATGCGTTAATTCTCTTACTACTGTTTAGAGGTTGACCTTTTGGAGGGATTTTTCCTATGTGAATTTAGAATGTGGTATTTATATATAGCATAAAATAGGTCATTCAAGGAGTGAGAGATAGTGTTGTTTTGCAAGCTTTAATCAGCAAGTCCCTGGAGGAGTGTGGGGAGCATGTCTGTGACCCATCCCCAGTCTCCCAAGTTCTTTGCTGTCCCTTCACCGTTTCCTTCTGTGTGTGTGGCCCCTTCTCTTTCCATTTCTTCATCCTCGGGGAAGCAGCTGTAAGGAGTGGTCGGGATTAGAACAGTCATCTAGTCCCAGGGCCCCTAGATGGTGCAAGGAGATAAATGTGCCCAGTCTGTCCCTGTGTCCCCTGGATTTACTGTGGGTCATAGTCGATCCTATGAAGCATACCCTTGCCTTCTGGGGGTGGGGAACTCCAGGCACTTGGCTACATGTGGAACTAGATGGTGGCAGATTCAGGTCTGGTTAACATTTTGTGCAGCTAAACTTTATTCCACAATATGACTATTTCAGAGAAAATATGCCGAGCCACTTCAAGTTTAAGGAATACTGCCCGATGGTTTTCCGTAACCTGCGGGAGAGGTTTGGCATCGATGATCAGGATTTCCAGGTGAGTTGCTTTTGTAACCTTTGCTTCAAATGGGTTTTGCTCTGTAAAACAGGACTTACTTTTTTTTTTTTATTACAAGTAATTATATAATAGTAATTTCATTTTATATAAGAATGTTTCAGTGTTCTTTCTGAAGTAAAGGGTTCTTTCACTTAGGAGCCTCTGTACAGAATGATTTTAGCAGTCAGTAGGAAAAGATTATTCTTTGGGAAGAGAACACATGTGAGAGTTCTAGATGATACTCTCATTTCCCAGTGGAAGTGTCCTGCTAGCAGACCTCCTTTTGATTTCTGCCATCAGATGCGTCGACGGCCTGTGCTACTGTGTATGTGAGTCTTGAATTCCCAGTTCCTGTATTTGCAGAGGCCACTTAGCAACCATAGGAATTTTATTTTTGTTCTGATTGATCTGCTGCTTTTCAAACTGGCCGAACCTGACTCCTGCTCGCAGCATTTTGTCGGAGGCCACACCTGGTGCGCTGTGATGCGTCCTGGTCTAGTGACCACAGAGCTACTGTCACCAGCAGAAGCCTGCCAGTCCCGGGAACGGCCTGGGGAGCGCTCGCGTCTGCTCCTCGTGCCCACCTCAGGAAGATGTGCACTTTTGCTTTTCTTCCTATGCATGCCTGGTTCTTAAATTCGACTTTTAAAATTGAGATCACGGTGCTTCAGTAAGTGCTCATCCATGGTCATTTCTCCTAAGAAAGGACCTGACATCAGTTAGCCAGTCAGATTTGTAAAAACCAAGGATTTTTTTTTTTTAAAGATTTTATTTATTTATTTGAGAGAGAGAGAACACGAGTGGGGAGGAGGGGCAGAGGGAGCGGAACAAGCAGACTCCCTGCTGAGCAGGGAGCCCGATGCAGGGCTCGATCCCAGGACCCTGAGATCATGACCTGAGCTGAAGGCAGATGCTCAACTAACTGAACCGCCCAGGCTCTGCCCCGCCTCAAGGATTTTTTTTTTAAGAGTAGAAAATCTGAGTTAAGAGATGCAAGGGCTACTTTCTGGTCTTTTAGGACGGTCTATTCATTTTACTGTGAAAGCACTGACTTATTTTAAATCCCTTCAAATCTAGTAAACACTTTCTTTCATTTACCCCAAATCTGAAATCCTCATTTATCCGGCATTAAGTGCCATATTGCCACCTGGAGTGACCTTACAAGGTGAACATCGACACAGCTTACCCTGTATTTTCCCTTAAAGAATAGGGTCCCTAAGGCAAATTGAGTTTAGTTTGGTACACTTCCCTAAAGATGTGTGGGCCTCCCCACCCTGCCCGGCCCCACCCCATTCTTGAGTTTCCAAGAATTTCTCGCATGCTCACTAAGGTTTACAAGAAGCTTCCAAGCTGCCAGGTTTCGAATAAGTGTTGCTAGCCAGGCTGCCAGTGACATTCCCTCTTCTGTGGACCAGGGCTGAGGTTTCCACAGAGGTGGGTTCTGAGCAGAGGCTTGGGTGCACCCCAGAGAGGGCTGAGGAGAAGTGGGACAGGGTAGAGTGGGTGCTCGCTTTGCTTTTAAAAAACTGGTGGAGTCAGCACTCAGATTTGGGCCTCATGTGTAAGAGAAAGAATTTCAGTCAAATCTAGACTTGGAATTTAAAAAAATAAGTCACTTTTATTTATTTATTTTAAGATTTTTATTTATTTGAGAGGGAGAGAGAGAGAGAGAGAGAGCGCACAAGAGCAGAGGGAGAGAGAAGCAGACTCCCCGCTAAGCAGGGAGCTCAACTTGGGACTCAATCCCAGGACCCGGGGATCACGACCTGAGCTGAAGGCAGATGCTTAACCAACTGAGCCACCCAGGCGCCACAATACGTCACTTTTTTTTTTTTTAAGATTTTATTTATTTTTTGAGAGAGAGAGAATGAGAGAGAGAAAGAGAGCACATGAGAGGGGGAAGGGTCAGAGGGAAAAGCAGACTCCCTGCTGAGCAGGGAGCCCGATGTGGGACTTGATCCCAGAACTCCATGATCATGACCTGAGCTGAAGGCAGTCGCTTAACCAACTGAGCCACCCAGGCGCCCCTCGCAAAAAGTCACTTTTAAAGAACAAATTTTGGAATAGTAAAAAAGGTTGTATAAAATAAACAGAAATGATTCTACATTATTTAAGAACTGTTTTATTCATTTAAAGAGGCCATATGAAAATAAATAGTGCTTTAAAGGAATGAATAGCTGACAACTTTGATGTCCTAAGAAAATCTCCTCTGCCTCTGATTCCCATGTTAAACTCGTGTGTTCTTCCTTCTGTCCCTCTCCTTTTTTTTTTTTTTTTTTTTTAAATTGGCTACATGGGCATTTCACAGAAACTGGCTTTTGAGGGCCTATGCTACAGGATCTTGTTAGGTTCCTCAATTCATTACCAAAATGAAGTTCTTAAATTTCTTCCCATAATCAGCCTGGTTAAGTGAGATTTGAAATGGACACTTTACAGCCTGAAATCTGTACTGCAGCAGATGAAAGTCATTTTTAAAATTTCCTAAAATGACCAGTTTAGTTGCAGAAATACCAAGATACGAGCCAGTTTTCCTTCACCTTTTCCCCCACAAAAGCAAAACCATGTAACTTGATATTAAATAAGTGCAAATTGCTTTGTACCAACTTTAAAGGCAAATCAGGCAAGTAGAGGATGATTCACGTAACTAACTGGCAAGTGTCTGAAGCTCTTAGCAGGAGAGATCAGTGTAGAGAGCTGGTTGTGAGTATAATTAATCATTTGAACGCCACTCCTCTCCTCAGCTACGCCCAGTGCTTTTGGCATTTAAATTGCTGCTTTCTCTTTGGCAACTGTATTTCTATTAAAAAAAAAAACAGGTGGGTGTTTAGTAACTTTAGTAAACCAGAGATATATTCTGGTTTCCCTCCCCAGCCCCATGTTCCTTTCCCAAGGTCTCTACCTTTTAGAAAATTTTCAGTAGGGGTAGGCCCCGGAGTTTAAGCTGAAGACCAGATCATAGATGTGATCTTGGGCTCCACTCCCCACTTGGTTGGCCACTTGGTTTGGAAAAATGGAAGAATTGTGCCGGCTCTTTCTCTGAGTTCATACCTTGAGGGCCGCTGGGCATTGCGGGGCTGAAGGTGGAGGTGCTGTGGTCCTGGGAAGGTCCTGGGAAGCCCCGCCATGGGCACAGGCCAGGGCTAGGGGGGCTGTTATCCCAGCTGCTGGGCACATCAACTCACCACTGCCCAGACATTGCACTGATCATGGCCAGAACAAGCAATGTGTATCAGTTGACATACGTAGTACCAAATTAAATACTCTTTCTCCATCTGATTTGAAAAGTGAGATCAGTGACCTGGGGTCTGATCATCTTTTGACGGCACCGGATTGTTAGAGGGGACCAGGTCTCACACTGCTTTGCTTTGCCTTGATGTGTTGATTTGTCTGAAGTGCCTGCTTATTGGATGAGCAGCATTAAATCAATGTGGCGATAAGGAGCTCCGCTGTCTGGTTCATTTAGTATTCAGACCTTCACATTGAATCAAAGGGATAAAGGCTGTCTACCTGCCTTGTGTGTGTGATGTCCTTTTGCTGCATCTGAAAAAAGTATTGATGAATCTGATACAAGTGGAACATGGTAATTAGCCCACCTCATTGACCTCTATCCGCAAACTTCAACTTCTTGAAAAGAATTGAAGAGCATTCCTACTGTAAACATTTGTATCTTTCCCCTGGTTTTGGTTTCTTGAATGTCCTTTAAAAATAAAACTTCTTTTTCTTTCTGTTAAAGACAAATGCAAGCAGTGGTTCTAGAATATTCAGCATTAATAATAGTATCACTTAACATATGTACATATAAACCTCTGTGTAGGTATGTCCAGTGCTTTCAGATTCAGAACTTTCTCCAGTTTATTAGTGTGTCTTAAAATTACTTTACTGGTTTATAAGAGGCTCAGTGTTGAAGTATGTTCTTCTGATCATTGTCAGGCCAGTGGGACTCGGCATTGCCGTACTTTTAAGATAAGGCATCTTTTAAGATGAATGCACCCATGGAGGTCCCCACTATTCCTGACACCGTTTCTGCCTCCGCTGCTCCCTGAAGCGCTGGTGCCCCTTCGGTGGAGGATTTCATGCACAGTTACCACTTGGCATTTGTTTATTTGTACCTACTGCATGTCAGGCTCTGTGCAAGACATTATAGGGGGTGCAGAAGGGAAGAAAGGGCGAAGGAATTCGTTTTTGTTTGTTTTAACTATCCTATATCAGATTCTGTATAAGATGCTAATGAGATTTACAGAAACCCAGACATCTTGATTTTTACCATACTCCAAGAAAATCTGCATCCCTCTTTCCAGTCTCTCAGAGTATCAGAACCTCTTACAACAGGCTTGGCAAGTCAAAGGGAGGCGTCACTTAAAGTTTCCGAGCTGCAGGAGAGGATTGCCCACCAGAAACCAAAAAGTTCTACAAGATGGAGATGATGCAGTTAAGCCTCAACCCACCACATAATTGAAACTGACCCTCTTGTTCTTCGTAGAGGATAATACCAGGTTTACTTTTCCCCTACCGTGTCTCCTGAATTAGAATCCCTCATTATTTGCATTCGATGCATCTTCTTCTTTGTATTTGTAATGGAGAATTCTAGTTTTAAAATAATTAAATTTAAAAGCTAACGTTTTAAACTTTTGATGTTCTAGTTTCAAGTTTAAAAATTAAACGTTCAAGTGTTAAGACCTTGAGAGTATACGGAACTTTGGGGGAAAAAATCTGCCTGTATCTGTAGAATACAGAGCCTATCACCGTGTTTTCAAGTGTAGATTTCCCAAAAACCATTTAAACTGTCTGAGGGCAGGGACTGAGTCTCATGTGTCTAGGGGTGCAGGCCCAGAGTTTAGCATCAGCCTGCCTCGGGGCAGGCACTTAGGAAATATCTGTGGCAGAAAAGGAGGGAGGGCTTGCGGGGGGGGGGGGGGGGTGTCGTCAATCCAGGGAAGCGAACCTTCTAGGCCAAAGCATGGTGGCCTTCGAGCTCAGGAAATGCGAAGCAACTGGATGGT